TGCTCGACTTCGCGTGCAGGTCGTCGGGCTACAAAAGCAACAGACCCTCTGCAGAGGATCAAAATTGTGATGGCATGTCTTCGGATCATCCTCAAGGATGTTTCCCAGACCTTCGCCAATAGCCCATTGTGCAGCTCTACTGCTGCGTAAATGAACTACAACAACAACAAGTAATAAAACACCGATTTTTCTATATACTGAATTATTTTTTTATCTCTCACAGGACCTTCTATGGGCCGAAACGAATGTTACCCCTAAAATTATTCCTAATAAGGCATACATCCCACTAGTTTATTTCAAAATTGGTGAGTCACACTTCCCTAGTTTCCCTTGNTAAGGCATACATCCCATTAGTTTATTTCAAAATTGGCGAGTCACACTTCCCTAGTTTCCCTTGCTAGTTGTTAACCCAATACATATTAACCAAAGAATGAAACTAGAGGATGACAAGCCATAATTCTTCTGAAAATGAAGCGTCATTCAGAAAAAAAATATTGGATTTTTTTAAAAAAATGCTATGTATAGTTTGTCTAATCTAAGAACTCCTCCCGCGACAAAGTCTGAGGCTGCCCGGTGCTATGGAAACAAGAATGGTGCATTTTAGGGAGGGTAGCTTCACTCTAGGACTAACATAATAGACCGAAGAAAAAGATTCCCTTTCTCTCGCCGACCAGAGTCAAAACCACTCAAAAACAGTGACCACGCACCCCTCTTTGAAATAGTCATACCTCGTTTCCATAGTCACCGCCATAGCTCCAGACGGATGTCTGGGGGAGTTCTGATTTCAGACAAACTATATATATGGAAACAGGCAATTACCCCGCCATTCCACCGCTTTCCATTTTATTGGCAAGTACAACATCTCTGCTGTAGACATCGAATTGCCATTGCCTTTGTCCCATCACTCCTGCTAAGATTGCACCAGTATGCACTCCTACTCTCATATCCACACCTGAATTCGTTTTCTCTCGAACAGACCTAACATAAAAAAAGAATAACAATTAGTATTTTAATGACATTATACTGCATAATTTGATACTGTATAGTATGATGAGCCGCGGTAGCTCACTGGGTAAAGCATTCGCCTCCTCATGAGGTTCCCAGCTTCGAATTGCAGCGGTAGCTGGTTCATATGAATTATTCTTCCGGCTCACATCGACCACAGAGCAGACAAAGATATTCTTAACCCTTTCGCGCCGACTGTCACAAATACGTGCCAGCTTAAAACTGTATCAATCAGGTTAAAAAGATAAAACTGATAACCAAAGTAGTACTTTAGCAGTTGATCTAATTCACCATTACTTTAGTTCAAAATAAAATTATTTAGTTATACTTTGAACTAACATTGATTATATATATGATCAAACTAACAATAATTAAAGAAAAAGCAAAGTAAGTCTGTCAAGTTAGCAACGCCTACTTTTAAGCTAAGGTTTTTTATTTATTTACATCCTGATTCTGATTTTATACGAATGGTTTTATGAATCACCCGTCCCCAAGTGGTTAATGGTAGACGGGATACTCATGACTGTGACCAATATCCATGACCCATGGGTAAGACTCCCGTTGCTGTCGGGCTAACTGTGGGAGGTTTTCGTGGGTTCCTTCTCCATGTAATGCAAATGCGGGTTAGTTCCATAAAAAAAGTCCACCACGAAGGCTTTGTCCCAAACCATAAAGGGAGTCAGTAAGGCATATACCAATAATGCTAAATCTGATTTTTTCCGATGTAACTTTTCTCAGCATCTAAACAATGTATTGTTCAGCGTTTTTTCGCAGAATATTCACATAGGCATGTTTACACTGTGATAACTGTTAACTTTATCAGAAATGATGTTTTAAAAATTAAGAATTGTGAACATATTTTTTTGAAAGTTTCATCAAAAATCTTTCATAACTCAAAAAGTACTCCTGTTAACGCTAAAACATTATCACAGCATACAACTAATATAATCTCAAATGTCCCCTAAAAATTAAAAAATCATATCATAAGAAGTTTCTTAGCAAAAGCTACATCGAAAAAGGTCAGTTTGAGCATTACTGATGTATGCCCTACCGACTCCCCTTAATGCAGAAGTTTCCTTGCCCGAAAGAAAATTTCTCCCAATATTTGATCCAGGAGTTCCCCTGTCTTCTGGGTAAGGTTCAAAATTACAAGGATGCGGAGTTGAATAATAATAGTCGAAAACTCAGAATTGAGTGAACTTATAGAAAAAATTAGAATGTAAAGTATGACGAAAAGCATTTTTAGTATACTTTCCATACAGGGTCGCCAACATTGAATGGAATAGTAGTCAGAATATTTTATATAGTAGGCAAATTAAAACTATAATTTTCAGAATTTATGGTAACTATGCCAACATTTTAAGAGACGTACTACACACCTCAAGCCTGCACGCTTTTTACAAAATATTTTATAGAGTGGTAAACAATTAAAAATTGAAACTATCAGAATTTTTATTGAATTTGCAAAAAATTAAAGCCTCACCACGAAAGGTCTGGAACATAGTGGTTTTATAAAAACTTTTGAATCCATTACATATAATGGTGTAAAAAATAATTTGAAATCAAATTTAGAAAATGAAAAATAATACATTAAAGATAAAACTTAGTTACCACAATAAGAAATTTGTCCTAAAAGAGCAGAAAGTTGGCAGCTTTGCCCTCATAATTTTTAGTTAACAGCTACCACATAGACCGCTGACCACAAAAAACCAATTCAAAATAGAAAAATACATGATGAATGGGAATGAATTTTTTTAAAAACTTGCTAGAAAACCAGATTTAGGACGGATAATTTAAAAAAAAATTAAATAAATCATTGATTTATATAAAATGATTTCTGTAAAAAATTTTGATTTAAAAAAAGTTATTATTTTTTTTTGTTGAAAAAAAAACATTGCCCCTCAATTTGAATTTACTAAGTATTTTAATTTAATATTGTTTAAATTTTTTATTGATTTTGATAGTTAAAATTTATTAAATTCTTGTTCTTTTTTTTCAATTACAAAATCGGTAATTGAATATGGATTGTTTTGAAAAAAAAATCCCTTTCGTAATGGAAATATTACCCATTCCGAGTTTTGAAACACGATCTTCAAATCACATTTTGTTTCCATATTTCGAATAAATTTCTGAATCTTAAAGTATTACTTAAAAGGTGATTTTTTTAAAAATAAATGGGTAAGATATTTCGAATATAAAGATTTTTTAACCTATAATTAAGGTTAAGGTATAATAAAACATAATTTATTTCATTATTTCAAAAAATAAAAATTTTTTTATTTAATTTTGTGATTTTTTTATTTTAGTTTGTTTTTCGGCAATGATACACTTATATATACCAATTTCAATAAATTTCAATATATATTATTTATGCATTTCGATAATATAATTTTTTATACAGCAATATAATTTGAAATGCATAAATATGTTTTATTTCTGAATAATATCTCAATTATAATTACAATATAAAATTTGCAAAAGTTATAAACTTAAATATTTTAGTTACCGTCAAAAAATAAATATGAATTAAAAAAAATATCTGTTTTAAATCAAACTAATCGAATTTGTCTAATTTAAAAAAGAAACACGAATCAGAGTCAATCAAAGTCAGTATAAGCTCACCAAAAAGTATAATTTTATTTTTTTACTATTTCAGATTTATGATTTAATTTTTAATAATATTTCAACTATAATTTCTTATAAATTTAAACAAATTACAAACTTAATTTTTTAATCATCTTAAAAAATAAATCTTAATTAGAACAAAAAATATCTGCTTTAAATAAATTATTCGATTTGCTTGCTTGGAAAAAGTGTAATAGTCAGTATAAGCTCATCAAGATTTATAATTTCATTTTTTTACTATTTCAGACTTATTATTTATTTTTTAATAATATTTCAATTATAATTATATTTATAAAATTTTACATACAATAATATTTTAATTATTTTTTAAAAATAAATTTGAATAAAAAGAAATATCTGATTTAAATTAAATTAAACGGATTTGTTTGATTTTAAAGAAACACGAACTCTGCAGCTCAATCAGTATAAGCTCACCAAGATTTATAATTTAATTTTTTACTATTTCAGATATATTTTTAATTACCTTTACAAAGTAATACTGAATTAAAACAAAAAATATGCTTTAAATGAAATTATTCAATCTGCTTGATTTAAAAAGAAAAGAAAAAACAAGAATTCTGCAGCGCAATAAAAGTGCAATAAGGACACCAAGATTTTTAATTTTTACTATTTAAGACTTGTTACTTATTTTTTAATGGTATTTCGATTTTAATTACATTTATAAAATTTACATATTATGAACTTGAATATTTAAATTATTCTTAAAAAATAAATCTGAATAAATAGAAATATCTGATTTAAATCTAATTAATCGGATTTGATTAATTAAAAAAAAACACGAAATCTGCAGCGCAATCAAAGTCAGTATAAGCTCACCTGGATTTAGAATTTTATTTTTGACCATTTCAGATTGCAGATTTATTTTTTTATAATATTTCAATTACAAATTACATTTATAGAATTTAACAAAGTATAAACGTAAATTTTTTAAATATCTTTAAAAAATAAATCCGAATTAAAACAAAAAATATCTATTTTAAATTAAATCAATTTTCAGTCCTTTTTTAACAGTTCAAATATCGTTGATTTTAATACTTTTCCCAATTTATATTCGACGATAAATATTGCAAAAGTATATACTAAAAAAGTTGTAGTTTACATACATTAAAACTAATTAAATAATTTTTATAGGATAAATAAATAATTTGTTTTAACCCTTTCGTTATTACTCTGTTTAAGTTACGCCACTGAAGGTTTCACCGCTTCGCGAAGTGCGCACATTTTATGTGAGTAAGCTGATGCTCGGATTTTCTTATTTAAAGGTTACATAGCAATAAATTTGGATATTGTGCAAAAGTTATAAATAAAGAGGTAATTTAGAATAATTAAAAAAATTGTAATTTAATTTAACACAAAGGTTGACACACAAATTCACATTAGAATTTTTGCTCACCTACTTAGATTCTCGTCTGCTGCCCCCCCCCTGTTGCTCTACAAACGATGTTCTTACTATATCAGTTTTTTCTACCAAATTCTAAACCGATGGAGAACATATTTCTGACTTACAAAACATATTAACTCTTTAAAAATATGCTTTTAGTGGTATTAATCCAATATTAGGACAATGGAATATTGACCAGTGCCAGTTTGTAACAGATTGGGCCGGTTATCGAACAGTATCACATCACACCGACTCCTGCTAAATACCGTGCTTGTACACACAGGACATTGTGTGAATGCTGACTACTAATATATAAACTAATATATAATACACTAGTCGACTGATATATAAACTCTGATAATTTTATAGGCACTGCAAATACTGCCGCTGCGATCACGGGAACTTATTTCTAATAAATGTTCATAGTATCCTTTCCGTTTTCTTTAATACGTTCACGCCGGGTGTTGCGCCTGAAAGCGGGACGGAAAAGAGAAAATACTGGTAGAAGAACTATTTCAATATTAGATAATATTCGGGAGGAGTTAATCTATTCTCAACAATAACAGTTCACTGTAAGGAAATATTTATCACGGCGAAGAAGCAATTCAATATAAAAATTGCATCCGCTAAAAACAATTGGTAGTTATGGATTTTTATTATTCCCGGAAAAAAACTAAAAAATGAAATTTATTTGTTACCAGTTTTTACTCCGGTGCGCCACCTGATGAGACAATCTAGCGTGACCCACCGGTGGGTCACCCCATCACCTCCTGCATCAAGAAAGAAGCCTCCACACGATCCTTGATAAGTAGTCCGCGCAGACTGCTAAAAAAGTGAATCAGTTGTGCGCATGAACCCAAAACCTTTTATAAAAGTAATTGAGAGAAATTTATCTTATATATTTGAGAATTGAATCTGTAGTGGTTGACAAGTGAATTAGGCAAAC